ATCCAGGGACTCCAGGATCATGATCTGAGCCAAAGGCAGCCGCTTAACCAACCGAGCCACCCAGGAGCCCCATCTTTGCAGTTTCTTACCCCACCCCCACCTTTCCTTTCCTGGCACGAGCTGTCAGTGCCCATGGACAGCAAGCCGCTGCCCATCTCTTTCGTGAGCTGGGAAATGCTGGGAAGGAGGAGGCCCTAGCTGGGCCGAGAGGAGGACGAGCCTGTCCCCTCAGTCCTGTTGCTCAGGGGCCTCTGATAGGTGACAGGTGCTTCTGCCGTTGTGGGAGGCTCCTGAGTGAGGAAGCCCTGGGTTTGTGTGCTGCTCTGTGGGGAGTGGTGTCCCGGAGCCATGCATGAGCACCGGGTCTCAGAAGTAGTTTTCTCATCTGTAATAATAATCATAACAGTAGTAATCCTGGCCCCTTCCTCATGCATTCGTAGCTGCATTCGGGAGATAATCACTTCGCGCAGTGCCAGGCATGTTGTAAGTGCTTAATAAATATTCCTTGATGTTTCGAGGGCAATAAAGTGGAAACAGCTCAGCCTGGGCCTGATGCCCCACCCTTCTGGTCCTGCCCTGGCCCCCCCTGCACTTTCTCTCTGCTCACCGCTCACCACCCCTTATCTCGGATAAGGAGGATTGGCCTTATCAGGTCCCAAATAACAGCTGAGAAAGTGTGGAAGCTCAGTGAAGCAAGGGTAGTTTCCTTTCTCCTCCTCTCCTTGGCCTTGGTCACCCCTGACCCCAGGCACTAGGGGGCCTGGTGCTGCTTCCACAACACTTTGGGTGTTCATTGTTTTTCTCTCCTGCCCCCCCCCTCTTTTTTTTTCTTGATGAGTTTGATAAAAGGTTTATCAGTATATTCTTTGTTTTAAAAGGTATTTCTCCAAAATCCCGTGTGCCAGGCGGGTGTCCATGGGGAGTGGCGGGATGGGGGGCAACGGGGGTGGCTGATGGCCTGGCTGGAGCCACGGACAGCCAGAGCACTGTTGGTGGTGCTGTGACCAGAGCGTGGGCTCTGAGATGACCCGATATGGCCCGTCCAGGCGCTGGAGGGTAGCGTCCCCAGCACAGAGGGCTCCAGAAAGACCCAGGTGGCTGGATGGCGGCAGACGAAGTGGGCAGTGTGGAGGGATGATGGGAAATGAGCCTGGAGGCCTCAGTAAGGATTCCAATTTTTTGTTGTAGAAGAGAGGAGAAGCCCCTGAGTAGGCAGGTTTCATTGCCCGTATCTGAGTTGTCTCTGTGCCCTTGAGATTGCTGCTGATGAGTGAGGAATGCAGTCCTGCCTGGAAGGGCCTCGCAGATCCTCACAGAGGCTCCAGGTTCTGTGAGTGATTCTTCTCTGCCTTCCCCAGAGCCAAGGGAAGGGTGCTCATGTTAATCCCGAATGGCCCATGAGCCAAAATAAAAGGCGGGGGGGGGGGGATTGGTTTTGTCAAGTGTCCTTGGATTATTTTTGGCTCCAGTTTTGACTGAGGCTGATCTTTGAATTCTGTTCCCCACATTTGGACTGATGGGCAGCTGGGCCGGGGCTTGGAGACTTTCCAGGCAGAGGGGAAGCCAGGGGGGAATGTGATCCTGTGGTCACAGTGGGCCTCTGCCCTGGGAAGGGTAGAGAGAGGCCTGCAGGATTTCTGCTTCTGACACTGCCTGGGAGGGAACAGGTTCAGGAGGGCTGGTAGCTACTGCATTTTAAGCTGGGTGGAATGTGGTGCTAAGTTTATTCCAGCACTATCTGTTGAGTGTCCAGGCTAGCCCCTGATTGTTGTGACCTTGGGGGTGTCTGAGAACCATTTTGCCGCTGAACACCTGGCCTGGTGCGGTAACATTCTGCATGTGTGTTTGCATATATACGTGTACATATATATACACATATATGAGACAATCTACGAAGACAATTTTTTTTAAATCATTTTTTTTTTAAGATTTTATTTATTTATTTGAGAGAGAGAGAATGAGAGACAGAGAGCATGAGAGGGAGGAGGGTCAGAGGGAGAAGCAGACTCCCTGCTGAGCAGGGAGCCCGATGTGGGACTCGATCCCGGGACTCCAGGATCATGACCCGAGCCGAAGGCAGTCGCTTAACCAACTGAGCCACCCAGGCGCCCCGAAGACAATTTTCTTAGAAGTACAGAGCAGGAGGGGTGAGGAAGGGCAAGCACTTTTAACCTCACAGTGCCCCTGCAGGGCACACAGTACCGCCCCCATTTTTCAGGTGGGGAATCTGAGACCTGCTGAGTTTCTAATAATGGGCTGATGTCTCTTGGAGCGCGTGGGGGTTTCGGTCCCACAGATGTCTGCTTCTGGAGCTGGGCTTTCTGCACGCCCTTCGAGCCGGGGTCCAGGCTGGGGTTGGGGCACGCACCTCCAGGCTCCCAGCCCACACTCCTCCTCAGCGGCACCCTCCTGGCTATAGCTGATTGATTGGTGGTGGGATGCTGCTGCTGGAACCTTCCAGAGGGCCCTGAGGGCACACGCCACCCCCGTTTTCCTGACGTGTGGAGGCTTGTGGCGGCTGGAGTTTTCCAGCCTCTCTGTTCCTCCCCCACTATAGGTGTGTGTGGGGGGTCAGTGTAGACTTGAATTTATGGGATGTACCTGTAGCTTTGTGTGACTGTCTCCTCGGCTCTTCAGAGTAACCCAAGGGAGGCTCTTCAGAGTAACCCAAGGGAAGGGCTGGTGGGAGGCTGGCCTCACCCCACGTTTCTGCCCTTGGTTAGGGGAAGGGCGGGGCCTGAGGAATGTGACCTGCCTCCTAGCGTGGGGTGGGTGCTGCCTGGGGGGTGGGGTGGGGGAGGAGGGAGAAGGCCCAGCTCACTTAGAGCCGTTAGGCAAAATCTTGGGCAACCGGGCCCTGCCCTCCTCCCTCCTGGACTGCCCGGGCCCCTTTCAGCGCTTCCTGTCACACTTCCTGCTCTGGGCCTTTGTACTTGCTCTCCTCTGTGCCCGGAATGTTCTTTCCAGTCCTTCTGAGATCCCAGATGGCGCTCAGAGGACGCCTCCCCTGAGAGGCCCTCCCTGATCACCTAGGCTGGAGCAGCCCTACCCTTCCCCTAACTTGTTCTCACATCCCCTCTGTCCTCACCTGTTTCTTGCCCATGGTCCCCATTGGAGGTGAGCTGCTTGTGATGAAGTACAGTTGGAAGAAAGGCAGGTAGGAACAAGGCGCCCCACCCTTAAAAGGATTTTGCACCACCCTAGAGGGAGTCCTCCATCCTTTCCCACTGTGATAGGTAGATGACCAAAAACCGATTGGATGATAGGCTCAGGGAGGATTGATCACAGTAAAACAGCCCACGCACAAGCCCATAAAAACCCCTAGACTTAGAAACTGGTGGCAACCCTCTCAGTCCCCTCCCTCCTCGGGAGCTTTGTACTATCACTTTGCTGTCACTCAATTAACTTTGCTTTGCTGCCTACCACGCTGGTCTACCTCTTCATTCTTCCAAGCGGCCTGACCCAGAGCCACGGGCACCGGAAGGAAAAGGAAATCCTGCAGCCCATGCATCCGAGGGCTTGCTGCCATGGTCACTGCTGTCTCCAGTGTTTAGAGCAGTGTCAGGCATAGAGGGTGCCCAGGAACCTTGTAGAATGAATGAAGGACCAGTCCTCATGGCCCCTGGTTTCATGTCCTTCCTCCAGGCCTTTGGTCCGTGAGCCTCCAGACCCATTCCCAGGGACAAAGAATAAAAAGGACCCCCAACACTCACAGCCCAAGTGACACTGAGGCCTGGAGGACCCCCCCAGCTGGGGCCGCAGTTCAGGAATGAATGATCTCAAGCCTTGGCTCTTACCCACCTGTCCCCCCACCTCGCCATCCTCAGACATGTTAGGGTCGGTGGTCACCAGTGGTCACCAGTCAGTGAGGTCATAGGTTCAAGACTGAGCGAGGTCTCTGGGAGGAGGAGTTCTTGAAACTCAGGACCCTGGAATTGGACCCTGAACCCTGAAAGCCGCCCTCCCCGTGGCTGCGAGCTGAGCTCAGGGCACTCCTCCAAGGTCCTGGCCCATATCCTGGATGTTCTTGCCCACCCGGAGCTCAGCTCTTGGTGCCAAGGGAATCCCAGCTGGGTCCCATTCTGATCAGACTGAGTTCTGGAACAGGTTGCCCTTTCAGCCCAGAGAAAGCAGTAACTCAGGGCCCTTGGGATAAGGGCTGCATTGTGGGGAAGGAAAGGGAGAGTCACCCTCTCCATGTACAAAACGCTTAGAAGTGGTTTTGCATTGATTGAATTTAAACTTAAAATGGCCCTGTGGGTTTGTATGGTGGTTCTCACTTAGTAGATGTAGAGACTGGCCCAGCGGAGGCAGGTCACATGCCCGAGGATGCACAGTGTCAGGTCTGGGCCTGGAACTTGGAGTTTGGACCCCAGGGCCAGTTCTTGCCCCCCAGTTCTATACTTGCTCTGGATTTCAGGATTCTGGGCCAACACAGAACACCCCCCCGACCCCCTCCCCACCCTGGTGGAGATAGAGGGGCCGGATCTGGTTGTGGCCACCACTGACCTGTCTGCCTCTCTTCCCTGCCCTTGTACCCCAGGCTGTGGTGGAAGCACACGGCCTCCCTGAAGGTGGTCAATGAGCCGGTCTTAGCATTCACGCAGGGCAGCCCCGAGCGAGATGCGCTACAGAAGGTAATGGGCCGGTGGGGGCACCCAGTGGGGGTAGGGCACGGAGCGAGGACAGCCTTCAGCAGCCCCCCCACCCAGGATGCCTCTCCCTGCCTACAGCCATCACCCCTTGTTGCGCCTGCCCCCAGCCTTGGAAGGAAACCGGGTCTGGGACAGGCGTGTGTCTGGAGGACGGAGAGGCTGGGGGCAGCAGGGGGGCAAGGCGGGCCACTCTAGGGCTCCGTCCAGGTCGGGGGTTGTAAACCCACAGACGTTTTCTGCTTAAAAACATTGTCCTGTTAATTGCCAGTATTTTAAAAATTGTGAGATGTCACGTACATTTCAGATACAGTTTTCTGTCTACGATGGGAGGACCTGGCAACCCTGGCCTCCCCTTCCGTCAAGACAGGAAGTGACAGCGGACAGGGGCTGAGTCCTGCTGCCCCCTGGGCAGAGCAGATGCTCTCTGACCTTAGAGCCCGGCCCCTTCGTATTTCTGTTCCCGCCTGGGCATCTGTGTTTGCAGGCCCCGCACCGGGGTTTTAGGGGGAGCAGAGAGGCGGGAGGAAGTACCCATCCACCCTGTTGTCCCCTCTGTAGGCCTTGAAGGACCTAAAGGGCCGGACGGAAGCCGTTCCATGTGTGGTGGGGGACGAAGAGGTGTGGACGTCAGACGTGCAGTATCAGGTGTCGGTGAGTCCAGTGGGCCGGCGGGGCTCGGTTTCTCCCCGAACCTGGGGTCCATCTCTCAGGCAACAGATCAGCTTGTCACATGGGTCTCTGCCTCCAGAGGGGTTTATAGTCTGTTCCCTGCTTTTGAATTCTGTGCGCCAATATAAAACTTCCAGAAGTAGTCTTAGGGGTATCATCATAAAAGATGCCGACTTCACGCCTGCCAGGAGGGAATTAAAACAGGGCCTGCCACAGCTTTGCCTTTTCTTTAGAAAATGGACCCACTGGCCACCTAGAGGGTGGGAAGAAAGGACAGAATATCAGAATTAAAGATAATCCTTCCAAAGAGAGGACAGTCTCCAAAGCCCTGGCCTCTATTTTGGAACGGCTGCTCTAGTGGAAGATAAGCTCATCTGAGGTGAGCACCTAGGACGTGGCCGGGCCTCCTCCTAGAAGCCCTCCAGCTGGAGCCATGCTCCATCCGCAGATACATCTGAGAGGCCCTGTGCCGTCTGCATGGGCTCCTCTTTCGGTCCTTGCCACTCCTCTTTGAGGGAGGAAGAGCGGGGAGTTCGCTGCCCATTTTACAGATCAAGGGGCAGGCTCAGAGATATTAAATGGCCCGCCCAGGATGGCACAGTTAGATCTGGACTAGGGATGATTAATCCTGGTTCTCCAGAACCACATCCCATTGATTTTGATTCAGTGGATTTTCTAGGAAGGATTTGGAAACAGCATATTAACTCATACAGTGCAGTAGGATCGTCTTGCTGTGGCCTCCTGGTCCCGGGATGAGAACCGTGGAGCCCCACGTGCTGGAGACAGCCCAGACTTGCCTTCATGCCTCCCGGTGACCGCAGGGAAGCGAACATATTACTTACACTAGTCAGAGTGTTCTTGAAATAAATTCCAGCTGCGTGATGGGAGAAGCACAGCCCTTCCCCATAGCGGCCCCAGAGAGAAACGTCTCCCGAGGGTGTCAGAAGGACGCAGTGATGTGATGAGCAGCGTCCACACAGGAGTCTCGGCTCATGCACAGAGGGCACCTTTTGCGCACTGTCACTGCATGCAGGCCAAGGACATCCGCAAAGCCCAACGCCTGGGGATGCCGGGGGTCACCCTGCAGGTCCGTGTCTGCTGCTGGGGGAGCTCTTCTGTCTGGAGTTCAGGGTACGAACGGACACCGGCAGCTTTGTTTCCAAACCTAACGAGGGGGAGATTTCCCCTGCACATTCAAATGTCTGGCTCGTCTGGAAGGTGGGGTGACGCAGCCGCACCAGGCTGGCACGGCCACAAGGCACCGTGTGGCTGGAACACGTCCGTGGGCAGCTCGGAGGTGGGGGCAGTGGTCCCCACCACCCCTAGTGCATGACGCCAGCTCTGTGCACTCACGGCTCTTGCCTCTCTGGCCCCAGCTGGGCAGTGGCTGGCCTGCATGTCCCTCAGGCACCCTGCCCGCGCGTTTCCCTCGGCCGGGCTTTTGCTAGACCCGGGACAGTGAGCCAGAGGCCGGTGGTCTGTGACAGTTAAGAGGTTGTCACCTGCTCCTGTGCCCCCCCCCCCCTCAGTTCGAGGGTGGGAGGGACCTGCTTTTGTGAGAGTTGGGGATCTTGACCAGGACTCGTGGCTGAGTGGACGTTTGCAGCTGGCCCGTCAGGGAGCCTGAGCCCCAGGCAGAGGACTCACCCCACCCCTTCTTGTCCCCGGCGTGGCCACGACACTTGTAGCCCAGAAAGGCTTAAAGCAAATACCCACCTCAGCTATGGAAAAAGAAAAGTGTGTGCGTGTGTGTGCGCACACACACACACATGTTTTGAGACCCCGTGCAGATGCATTTACGTGCAGCTTCTGGCTTTGTATCCAGCAACCAGTTGCAAAATGAAAGCCATGGTGTGTGAGCCAGGTGCTTTCCTCTGTGGCAGTGTCACCCAGAAACCTGTTTGAAGCTCGAAGAGACGCCAGCTCTTCTTTCTAGCAGGGCATGTGTAAGTCAGGATAATAAAACGCAGCCAGCCAGCCACGCCTCTCGGGCCCAGGCCCAGGGCAGACGGCGGGCTCTGCCCTCTTGGAGCTGCCCTGCTGGAGAGCAGGTGGTCCTGGGTCAACAAAGAAAGAAACTGGAGTTCCAGCGGGTGAGGGACAGGGGAAGGCACGGGCACTGTGCTGGGGACGCGGGGGCCACATCAGGTAGGGTGGTTGGAGGGCTCCATGGAGGGGTGACCTCTGAGTCAAAGCCCGAGGATGAGGGTGGGTGGGGGTTCGCTGCCAGGCAGAGGGCTGCTCGGTCCTCGGGCTGAGTCTCGAGCTGGGAAGAGGCTCAGTGAGCTGCACAGCAGAGAGGAAGCCAGTGGGGTGGAGGATTCAGGGCAGAGGGGTGGGCGGACGTGACTTCCTGAGGTTCTTACCACCTGTGCTTAGGGAACCTATTCCATGAGTTCTGGGGAGTCACTGGAGGGGGTTGAGGAGGGCCAGACTTTGCAGAAGAGCCCTGTTGCTCGTTACGAGAGAATGCTTTCTAATTTCAGGACAGCAGAGTGAAGAGGTGAGGGCTTGCCAGCACCTGTGAGTCCAGACTTAGACCCGTGGGGATATGGGACTCCTGGGTGGCTGGGGAGTTGGGCGGGAAGGTGGGGAGAGAGCCAGGCGAGGAGCCGGGAGGCAGCGGGCCGTGAAAGAGCCGGAACAAAGCCCGGGGAATGGCAGCCCCAGGTGGGGAAGCGCAGCGCACCTCTCTGGAGGGTCTGCCCACATCTGTGAGCTCCCCACCTGCCCCCATGGTGGTGGGTGGTGGCCGCCTTCGAAACCGTGGGCCTCCACTCCTTGGCCCCGAAGTGGGCACCTGACCGCAGCTGGGCCGGTTGGATTTACGGCCCTAGAACTTAGAACTGGCAACAGACATCTCGCTTTGAGGGGCTGGAAGCTACGGGGAGGATACCTTCCACCTCTGAGACACACGACCACAGTGGGTCTCTTGAAAGGTGCGGGGTGCCGCCTCAAAGAGGAGGAGAGAGGACGAGAGAAGCCTCAGTTTTTAGGCCGGGCTCCTTGAGTCTTCCTGAGGCCCCGCTGCAGGCCACCCGAGTCTCCATTACGGAGGCCCCTGTGTGTAAAAGGTTCCCCTTCTTGCCCGCTGGCTGACCTCCCTGTGCCTCAGTCTTCTCGTTTGTAAAATGGGGGTAGCAGTCGTGGTGCATAGGGTTGTTGTCGGGGTGAACGGATTGATCCGTGCCAAGTACTCGGTGCCCGCATGCACGCCGCTGAGCAGGCGTCAGCTGTGACAGAAACAGTCCTGTTTCCCTCAGAGCCTGCAGCTGGTTCATCCAAAAAAGCACGAGGGGCAGACCCATCTGTGTTTCAAACCTCTGGAAGCCATTGACCGTGATGGCAGGAGGCTTTCTCCTGCAGGTGTAGGGTGGGTTTTCTGTGGTGTCCCTCACTCGCCAGATGGCCACACTGCCCAGCCCATAACTGAGTCCTGCCCACAGGCAAGGAAGGTCCTGAGGAGTTCACACAGCATCTTCTGTGATTCCTGATGGATTTCTCCAGAAGGGGGTTTAGGGGTTAACAGTGGGCTAAGCCCCGTGATGACATTAGCCTAAGAAGCCACGTGCTCAGGGTCATTGAGCCAGGAACTGACCTACACTTTGGCTGGACTAGCAAACTCCTAGATCTGTAATTTGGGGGAGAGTAAAGGGTTGGCCCTTTTGCAGGTGGGGGAGGCACATTCAGGCTCTGTCCAGATGGAACCCTGAGCAGGTGCATGCAGGGTAAGGGTGAGGACCCTCAACCCCCAGCTCCGAGGGTTCTGAGGATGCCCCGGGAAGGAGTTGCCCACAGGGGGTGTCCTGGAGCCCCCACTACTGGATCAGCGACCAGAGGGCCTGACACCCGCAGTCCTGGGAGCACAGCCTATGATCACTCAGTTCACCCGGCCCCTCAGCGATGTCCCAGCTGCCAGCTAGGGTTCTTCTGGTCACCCTCTGGGCAGGCACTTCCCATTCTCATGGCCCGTGGTGCCTCTCTGACTTGGTCATGTGGTAACTGGGGGAGCCCAGGCGTGGGAGGCAGTGGCCGGCACGTGGCTGCTGGCATGGGGGAGCTGCGGTCCACGGGGGCTGAGTCGAAGGGCCTGGCCCCGGGGTGCCGCCTCAGCCCCTGAGCATCACAGGCCAGTCTCAGGTGTGGACAGGATACGGGTGACTCTGCTGGGGGTTGAAATGAGGGGGGAGAGGGCCACTTTCTCCTGAACCCTAGACCAGCACTGCCCAGTAGAACTTTCTGCAGTTATGCTGATCAGTATCCACACGCTGTCCCACTATGGCAGCCACGGGCCACGCGTGGTCATCCAGCACATGGACTGTGCCGGTGCAGCCGAGGAACGGGGTTGACATGTCAGCGGGCACGTGTGGCTAGTGGCTGCCACGTTCCACAGGAAAGCCCCACACAGCCCGTTGGCAGACTACTAGGTGGCAAGAGTACCAACAAGTGTGCTGGAAAGACGTGAAGTTTCTCCTCGCTTTATTAAAGCTCACGCTGGCATCTGGCGCTGCCGGGTTCTTTTTGCAAATGTTTGTGGAGGGTCTTCCCTTTCCCATGAGTCTGTGTGGGTCCCGAGCCGGGGGCTGGAGAAGCGGTTGGTCTGTCCCCCAGGCACTCGGGACAGCGGAAATCCTGAGCGGGTCTCAACTGCAGTGCATCGTTGGGGGCCTCGCGGGGGGACAGCGCTCAGGCCTGAGCCACAGCCGCGAGCCACACGGGGTCTGGCAGCATGTTCCCCTGTGAGCCCACTTGGGCCTTGTCCGCGTGCTGTGAGGCAGGGCGTCCCCATTTCCCACAGGGGGGGACTTGGAAAGGGGAGCTTACTTCCCTTCGGCCCCCAGCTAGTAGGTGGCGGGGCTGGGATGTGAAGCCGTGTCTGACCACGAAGTCCACACTTTCCCTCAAAGACTGCGATCCATGCTTTTCTCCGGGACCGTGAACCTTCCAGAGCAGGAGTGGTCTTACCGAACAGCAGGTGCTCCGTAACCCTTGGTCAGACAGATGGATGTGGGGATTGGAGGGGAGAGGGCGAGTGTGCTGAGGACTCTTGTCCGGAAGGCGAGCTCTGAGCCTGGCCACGTCCCCACCTGTCCTGGCACCTCCCTGCTGGCAGTGACCTCGCTCTTCTCTCATCTTGCAGCCCTTCAACCATGGACACAAGGTGGCCAAGTTCTGCTATGCAGACAAGGTGAGGCCCTGGCGACTTCGGGTAGGGGTGCTGGCCCTCTGTTCCCCACTGGCTGCTGGCATGGAGGCGGATGTCAGTCGCTGCTTCCCTCCCTGGCCGTGGGGGGTGGAGTCTTTCACGAGGCTGGGCCGGCCGGGGCTTCATTTGAGGCAGATGAGAGCTGCGTGGGCCAAGGCTGACATCCCCCGACATGCCTATGGCCGCGAGGCAGCCAGGTTTCCAAGGGGAGTAGATTCTGCAAGGCTGAGTCAGGGACATCGGAAACACCATGGATAAGAAGGCAAACAGAGGATCGGCTTCATGGAGGGGCAGCGAGAGGGGTTGGGGTGCCCTGTGGCAGGGGGTCTAGGAGCTGGCTCATGGGGCAGCGAGGGCATGCTGGCAGCAGGTGAATGACTCAGGCTGTGGTTCTGGCCAGGCACTTGACCTTGAGGGCTGGCGGCTCTAGCGGGTGGGTTTGGGGGCCCCAGGAGGAAGGTGAGGCTCTGATGAGACCAAAAGAAAAAGCAGAGCTGGTTTAACAGCTGAGGGACTTGCTGCCAAGTCCCTGGCATGCAGACCTACCTGGCAGGTCCCTCAGACAGGCTCGGGGCCTGGGTTGGGCTGGCAGGTGATGGGACACTGTATTTGCCACTGTGTTGGGGGGGGAGAGCACTGGAGCTAAGGGAGCCACGGGTCCCTGGATGGAGGGTGGTCTCCAGTCTCCCTTGCCCATTCCCCTGGGGCCTTTCCCGCTGTGGGAGACAGCCCTGAACCTTTTCCTCTTCATTAGGCCCTACTCAACAAAGCCATCGAGGCCGCGTTGGCCGCCAGGAAAGAGTGGGACCTGAAGCCTGTTGCAGACCGGGCCCAGATCTTCCTGAAGGCGGCGGACATGCTGAGCGGGCCACGCAGGGCAGAGGTCCTTGCCAAGACCATGGTGGGACAGGTGAGGTACCCGTGGGCGCAGTGGGGTGGGAGTTGGGGGAGGGAGGCTGTCCCACTCCATCCAAAATGGCAGCCATCAGCTGGGCTGCTTCTGGGTGCCAGGACGTGCTCTGTGTGCTGGAGACTTAGGCCCCGTGCCGTCCTCCAGGCTCAGTCAGACCTCCGCAGCCCTCAGGGTGGGTTCTCTGACACCTCCAGCAGGTCACTCCAGGCTTACAAACCGCCAGGGTCTCTCTCTCACCGACAGTCATGTCCCAAGTCCTGTGCCCAGCACTCAGGGCCCTCTGTTTCCGGCCCGTGTCCAGCTCGCCGGCTGCTCTGCCCATGAGGTCACCAGTCTGGATTTAGCAGGATCCCTGGACAGTGCAGGCATCCCATCTCCCTGCCCGTCTTCTGCCCGGTGGCCCTGCCTGGAATGCTCACTCTCTCTTCTCTGTCCTGTGAACTCTTCCCTTCGAGCTCCAGCCCAGATATCACCTCCTCTGTGAGGCTTCCAGAATCTTCTCTGTCCAAGAGGATTCGTCCCGCCCCTATGCTCCTGTAGCATGCTGTTCGTTTGCCAGTTACAGCTCAGATCGTATTGGGTATAATGAGTTCCTGTGTGTTTGTCACCTCTCTACAAGCTTTTTGGAGAAAATAATCGAGTTAGCTGTTCTCCGTCTTCCTGGGCCTTGCAGCACATCTCCCTGGAGTCAGAGAAGCTTTTTCGACTGAGTGCATGAAGAGTCAGGGAGTGGCACCAGCAGCCCCAAGTGGGGAAGGGAGCCCAGGGAGAAAGGGTTAATTTCGCCCTCCCTGGGGAGGGAGCCTTAGGCCCTCGTCCTGGGCCAGGCCAGCTCCCTGTCCTATAGTGAGGGCCCCCTCTGCTGCACGGAGGTGGTATGACACCTCCTTACTGGCCAAGGGTCTCCTGATTCTCAGCGGCCCTTGGGGTGGTTGTGGGCTCCGCACGTCCCGGGGGAGCCACACACACACTCGACGGCCAGATTAAGGTGCCTTATTGGACTAAAGAGTCAGGAGCTTGTAGGAGGCGTGGTGGCTTCACAGAGCCAGGGCCAGAGCATCTTAGCTGCTGTGGCTCCAGGTCCCAAGCAGGGTGACCACCACCAGTGACCCTGTGTGCCAAGGAGGGGCTGCCCTGATCCGGAGAAGCCCCATTCTTGCAGCCCAGAGGCCCTCCCCGGCCCTTAAGTCTGTCGGGAGGAACGGGTTTGCTGTTGTCAGGCCTCCTGCTTCTTGCTCCAAACACCCCTAGTGGGGGCACCTGCTCACCTGGGGGGACGGAGCCACCAGCACCGTGGGCACCATGTCACCGTGGGCACACGGTCAGTGTTGGAAAAGTGCTGGCGGGAGGCGCGTCTGTCGCCGCTGACCGTCTGGCTGTCGGCGCAGGGTAAGACGGTGATCCAGGCGGAGATCGACGCGGCGGCTGAGCTCATCGACTTCTTCCGGTTCAATGCCAAGTTTGCCGTGGAGCTAGAGGGGCAGCAGCCCCTCAGCGTGCCGCCGAGCACCAACAGCGTCGTGTACCGGGGACTGGAGGTACCCACTGGCGGCGGGGTGGCCAGGAGCCTGCAGGAGGAAGCCTCGAGCTTGGCCTCACCACCTCCCCCTCCCCCTTCCCCAGGGCTTCGTGGCGGCCATCTCCCCCTTTAACTTCACGGCGATCGGCGGCAACCTGGCGGGGGCGCCGGCCTTGATGGTAAGAGGATGACCTTGATGGTAAGAGGATGACCTTGGTGGTGAGATCAGGCGGGGGCAGGCGGGGCCTCTCATTCCTGCCTCCGCAGACGACAGCCACCCCGAAAGGCAGAGGCAGTGTGGGCTCCCCCTGCCGGAAAGGCTTTGGGATCCGAGACTGGTTTGGATCCCAGCTCTGCCCCGTGCTGGGGGATCCCCAGGCAAGCCCCCAAACTTCTGAGGCGGTTTCTTCCTCCTCCTCGAAGTGGAAATCTAGGAAAGCCCAGGGTACAGGGTTGTGGGGAGCAAGTGAAGCTGTGTGTGGGACATGTGCATGGGACACGTCTGGCCTGGTGCGGGCTTCGTGTGCAGGGAATGTTGATGGTGATGGCAGATCGCTTTCCAGCGCCTACTGTGTGCCCTGCCAGAGATCTGTCAGGTCTAGGAAACGACCACACAGTAAGGGTGCAGGCTTAGCTTCCAAGTCCCTGGCTCCTCTGCCCTTGTCAGGGAGAGGGTGGCCGCCATCCTCATGAGCTCCCGCCGAAGGGGGTGATGCAGCCCTGCCCTTAGAGGGCCTGGGTGGCTCGTGGGGCACCAGGAGGAAGGCTGGCAGGTGGTGGGGGCCTGGGCCCCACACGGGGCGGCTGGCTGATCTCAGGGATGCTCCTGCCCAGGGCTGTCCTTATGCATCTGTGCACAGATAGACACGCTCATACCCAGGTGCCCACGTGTCCTCAGCCAGGACATGTGCAGAGACAGGCCCGTGAGCCCTCGCCGGCCATGCTCAGTGAGTGCGCAGCGACGTGGAAACACCCAGAACAGACCTGCCCGAGGGGCGCTGGCAGGACCAGTTGGTACAGGCTTCTAGAAGAAGGGGGCCGTGGCCAGAGTGTGGGAGCAGTGGGGGCAGGGTGTGGTCCCACTGGCGAGGGTTTTTAGAGCACAGTGCCCGACACCTGGAGTAGTGGGGACATCCCGGCCTCCTGGGGGGCCTGGTGGCTCCACGTGAGGGATGGCTGTGCTTCAGGATGAGGGAGGGGGGCAGTCAGGTGGTGACCCCTGGCCTTGTGAGTCATCACCGTGCCTCCTGGGCAGGGCAACGTGGTCCTGTGGAAGCCCAGCGACACGGCCATGCTGGCCAGCTATGCCGTCTACCGCATCCTCCGGGAGGCGGGCCTGCCCCCCAACATCATCCAGTTTGTGCCAGCCGATGGGCCCACATTTGGCGACACTGTCACCAGCTCGGAACACCTCTGCGGTATCAACTTCACAGGCAGCGTGCCGTAAGCCCCTGGGGTGGGGTGGGGTGGGGTGGGCCAGGCGGCATGGGGACATTCCCCAGGCGACCGCCTCATGACCTCTGTAGGAGCCGGAGGTCAGGCACTGACCATACCCACTGACTCACTGTGTGGCCATGGGTGGCCCACTTCACCTCTCTGAGCCTTCATTTCTTGACCTGCTCAACAGGAATATGGTCCCTGCCTCGCAGAGTAATTGTGAGGCTCCAGTGGGTTAAGAGGAAGAACTTCACAGGCTCGAAGCAGCCTACAGACATTCGGTGATGTCAATGTTGATGCCACCTCTGTCACTGGGAAGGGCACAAGGGAGCCTGGAATGAATTGGAGGAGAGTCAGGAAGGCTTCTTGCAAGAGGTGGTATCTAGGCAGAGGAGATAGCCAAGCAAAGAGGGGGTAGGGAGAGTGCTGTGGGAGAGGGAGCAACACGTGCAGGGCCTCGAGGCTAAAGCTCTGTGCTCGGGGAGCTGGGGGTGGTTCTGTGGGGCTGGAGTGTGGGGTGCTGGGACCGAGGTAAGCATGTGGGCAGGAAACGGTTCGATCGTGACTGCTCGTTTATTCAGTAATGAGCAGGTATATGTGTCCAGTGAACGTGTGGACAAGTCCTGGTTCTTGGGGAGTTTAGTCCCGTGACTGTAAGACCCTATGAGCCCACAGAGGTGTCTAGACTTTATCCGGAAGGTGACTGGGAGCCACAGAAGGTTTTATACCCAGGGTGTGCATGAAGCAGCTTTATTTCAAACAGAGGCTGCAGATGGTCGTTCTCTAGTTGAACCTGGCAAGTGGCTCTACTTTGGCTCCTTGTACAGTTGGGACGGTTTCATGCAAAAATCTTTTTGAGATCTCAGGCTGCTTTTGAGAACCTGCCCCTCTGGGCCTGCGTGTCCACGGGGCACCCCTGGCTAGAGGTGGGGATGGAGTGCTCTTCGATCCTTGGCAGCCTCACAGGCGCTGGGCCTCTGCGTACCTGGTCCTTCTTTCCTGGTCTGGCGCCGTGGGGGCCCCTGCATTCGCAGCCTCTGTCCCGGATGGCCACTCTGGCTGCTTTGTGGACAAGTCACCAGTGGCCAGAAGCAGGAGAGCGGTGAGGAGGCTGTCCACGTCCAGGAGGGGACAGCAGAGGCCTGAACCAGGGTCGACGGTGGGAGTGGATTCAAGTGAGCAGGTGGCAGGGAGGCGCGATCACGTGTCCATGGGATTGGATCAGTGGATGGGGCGGGGGTCCGTGGGAAAGTCTAGGCTCTGGGCAGAGGGGCACCTGGAAGGCGTGGGTGGACATGACAAGTCACCTGCTGGTCACTTTGTGAGGTGCCTCACGGTCATCTGAGTGGAAAGGTCGGGGTCTGCACTAGGGGGTCCTTCCTGGTGTCCCTGGGGACACCTGCGGTGGCTTCCAGTCTCCCTCGCCCGGCCTCAGGCTCTCCTACCCCCCTTCCCAGGATTTGCCGGGTGTGATGGAGGCATTAGAATTGCTGAGGAGGACCATTTTCCAGAAAGGCCCACTCTGCCAGCGCAGGCCCCACGGGTCCTTGCCTATTAGCGGGCGGAGCGGGCCTGGCCCCCATTTGCCATGCTCTGATGAGCAGCGGGCTTAAAGGTAGGAAAGTCATAAATTAGTATTAGCTACTGTGTCGCAGGCTCCCTGGTGATTAGCATTTTTATTGTTTTGTGGTGCTGAGGTTGGTCACACTCGGAGCTTGGGAAGGAGGTGGGGGCCTGCACTCCCTCTCCCAGGACCCTCCTTGGTTTGGCCGCCGGAGCCGGGGCGCTGGGCTGGGGGCGCCCCTCTCAGACATGGCCGCGTCTGTCCCCTACCAGGCACCTGCAGCGTGTCTGGCACCAACCTAAGCACTTGACTCCCATTAGAGCGATCACAGAACAGCTCTGCCAGGTGGGAATGTTCTCTGCAGTTCCCAGATGAGGTGCACAATTTGAGGTTGAGTGATGAGTGCAAGGTCACATGGCCGTGAGTGTCAGAGTCGGGACCCCTGGCCTTGTCTGCATCATCTTGCCACCAAGCCTACCTTTGCTCCCTCCCCACGGGTCCCGAATGTAGCCTGTCTCCAGCTGCCCCCACCTACTCCATTCCCGCCCTCCAGGCCTCGCTATGACCTCTGCCCCCACCTGCTGGGCTTTGGGGCCCCTTCCTCTAGTAGGGCCTCCTCCCCACCCCCCAGGACCCTCACTGTCCCAGGGGCCTGATCCTCACTTCCTAATCCTTGCCCTGTCCTCTGCTTTCAGCACCTTCAAACACCTGTGGAAGCAGGTGGCCCAGAACCTGGACCGGTTCCGCACCTTCCCACGCCTGGCCGGAGGTAAGGGTCCCTCTCCCGGCGCCCTCCCTGTGGCCCCCGGGGACCCCTTCCTGACTGTCATGGAAGAGGAAGAGGCAGAGGTGATGCCCCCATAGAGGGGGGTAGCCCTGCAGGAGCTGAGCAGTGAGAGGCCTTAGGGGCGGAGTCTCAGCTCTGCTAGATCCTGGGGTTTGTGCCCTAGAATGTGCAGTTGTTCGTTCATTCATTCATTCATTCTTCATTCAGCAAATAAAATATTAAACAGCTACGTAGGCACTTCCTGGGCACCAGGGATGCCTTGATGGCGAGAGACGCAGACCCAGCCCTCAGGAACTTGCGTTCAGTAGAAGGAGGCAGACAGTGGGCACACGGATGATGTGCAGAATCCACGAGAGAAAGGAGGCATGCAGAGGCCCCGGGACCGGGCGCAGTGGGTGATCTAGGGTGGCCGGTCGAGTGGCTCTCTCCTCAAGGAAGGAGCCTTTGAGCTGAGACCTGGATGCAGGGAGGAAGCCAGTCAGCCTCGCAAAGACCTGGGAGGCAGAACCGTGCGGGCCCCGGCGCTGTGCTGTAGAGCTTTGCGCGGTGATGGAAATGCTCCGTGTCTGCTGTCCGGGCCGGTGGCCGGTGGTCGGTGGCCACGGGTGCCTGTTGAGCACTTGACAGGCAGCTGGTGTGACCGAGGAAGCGAATGGCTTGTTTTGCTTCGTTTAAATCAGTGTGAATGTAAATAGCCACGTGTGTCTGGCGGCGGCTATTTACCGAGATCGAGGCAGAGGGACCTGCAGGTGCGGAGGCCACGAGGTGGGAATGAGGCCAGTGTAGGTGGCGTAGGGGGCGGGGGCCGGCCGGACGGGGGCCCGAGAGCTCAGCAAGGCTGGAGCTTACTGAAATATTACTAAGTTTCCCACAAAGAAACACCTGCAAGGTCAAGGAGATTTGCTGTGTTGAAGCAAAACAGATTCCGTGTCTGCAGGACTTCCCAGAGCCTTTAATGCTTTTAAAGGCATGAGGTATCTTCAGGAGCAAGGACTGATGAGTGTTTCCCAAACTCTGTGGCTCATAGAACCCCATTTTTGCGGAGGCCCCCATGGACCAAGATTTTTTGGGAGAGGGCTGAGCGCATAAGAGAGAGGGCCGTCCAGGATCACACAGCAACCGCAGAGCGGGGGCTGGTGGCTCAGGGTTCTTGCTCCTGTGGATGATGTGGGGCCCGCGGGGAGACTGGATCCACTCCTGAGCTGGTGGGCGCTCTGATTTGGGGTCAGGGAAGGTGCGCCCTCAGCCACTGTGGCATCTCTACCCCAGTCCACCCTTTACAAGGTGGGAGCAGCGAGCTGTCTCTGGGTTTCTGTTCTCTGCCCCCTTCCTGCTGTGCTCTGAGGGAGGGAGACCACCACTTCTCTACCACCTCCCAGCCTCCAGAATTAATCTCTCTGTGTTTTCTTTTTTTAAGTTTTTATTTATTTAAGTAATTTCTATGCCCACCTGGGGCTCGAACTCAGAATCCAGAGATCAAGAATCGCTCGCTCTTCTGACTGAGCCAGCCATGCGCTGTTTTCTTGTCTTTAAAAATGCGGATGATAACAGGGTTGCTTTGGGGCTTTCATGAGACAAAGCAGGAAGTGCTTTGAGTAGAGCTTGGCAGGTGGTTAGTGCTTTGTGACCGGGAGCTGCTGGTCACTCGTGTTTCACGGAGGGGGGAAACCAGGGCCCAGGGGCTGAGAAAATGAGGGGGGTGGTTCACTGCCATGAGTAGGAAGAGGGACCAGCCCTGGTAGCCGACACAGAGTGGAGCCCCTCCCTCTCCTCTCACTGGGTTGGGGGGTCAGGAAGGCGCCAAGAAAACTATGCCTGCTTCTGGGAATGGATTGGCTCCTGGGAGCCTTGGGTTCTGGTCCTTCTGTCTTGATGGGAGCACCCCTGCCCCAGCCTCAGTTTCCCCAGCTGTGGGGTGGGAGATGGGCCTGGCTCGCTGGCTTCCGGGGCTGGGGCTGCGCACACCTGCACACAGGTGCAGGTGGGGCGGCGGGTGGGCCGGGAAGCCGGCTCCCCTCACGCCCCCCTCCCCTGCAGAGTGTGGGGGGAAGAACTTCCACTTCGTGCACCGCTCGGCCGACGTGGACAGCGTGGTGAGCGGGACCCTGCGCTCGGCCTTCGAGTACGGCGGCCAGAAGTGCTCAGCCTGCTCCCGCCTGTACGTGCCGCGGTCGCTGTGGCCGCAGATCAAAGGGCGGCTGCTGCAGGAGCACGGCAGGATCAAAGTGGGCGACGTGAGTGGCGCGGCCTCCCCGCCGCGGCCCAGCGGGTGGCTGATGGGATTGGAGGCTCCTGGGCAGTGTGCGGGCCGGGGCGGCAGGGGTCGGGGGGAGCTGTGCGGGGCGGGGGCTCCCTTTGTCTCTGGCCTGCGGTGACTCCAGTTCTTCTGGTGCCTCCCTCGCCTCCAGCCAGCAGAGGATTTTGGGACCTTCTTCTCCGCCGTGATTGATGCCAAGGTACGGGCAAGAAGCAGGCGTTCCTGGGGGGCCGGGCCCTGCCCCGGGTGGGCGAGGGAGGAGGAGATGTGGGGGCCTTGACTGGGGCCGACGCGGCCCCACTGCTTCCGGCAAGGCAGCCCGATGGCCACACGGACGCCCCCACCCCGCGCTTTGAAACCGGCAGAATCATATGTAACCAGACAACTTGCTTCCCGCGCATCCCGCACCCAGGCTGGACAAGCCCCCACTAAGTGTAGGTCCACACGCGCACGCAGACAGGCCTGCAGGGCTGCAGCATGCTCCCAAACACGTGTGCGAGCGTGTGCCCACGAACACACTGATTGGGTGTGCAGGCAGGTGTGTGGGTCACCCGTGGAAGCAGACACGCCCACATACACACCTCCGTGCCTTCTCCGCCATGAACAGATACACCTCGTGTGTGCACACGTGTTCATGTGTATGTTCGTATGTGTATAGATGGCCGTCTGCATTCACACATGTATGTGTAACAGACGTGCATATAAACATGTTATGCATGAAGGCTCGTGGCCGTGCACATGCCTGTGTGTACACTCGTGTGTGTTGTTTCTGTAAGTATAATTGTGGTTCTGCCACACACACTCTCTCTCTTTCTCTCTGTCTCTCAAATGGGCGTGCGTGTCTGCCCTTGTTTCTGCCATGGCTTAGCCGGACCCTGGCTTTGCCCTCTCCCCATTCCCTGTTCCGGAATTTGAGCCCTTCAGGGACAAGTGTGTTGGGGGCACTGCTGCTGAGAATGGCGTCCCAGCCGGTCTGTGACACCCCCTCCTTCCCACCCATCCCAGTCGTTCGGTCGCATCAAGAAGTGGCTGGAGCATGCCCGCTCCTCACCCAGCCTCACCATCCTGGCCGGGGGCAAGTGTGACGACTCTGTGGGCTACTTCGTGGAGCCCTGCATCGTCGAGAGCAAGGACCCTCAGGAGCCTATCATGAAGGAGGTGAGCGGGGCGGGCAGCCTGGGACATAGACGTCAGTCTCTCCCCCGAGCACAGCGCACACGGGACCCTTGTGTGTGGCTTCCTTCTTGTGGTGCTACCCCGTTTCACAGATGGGAGTGTGAGGTTCTAGAAAGGGAGTGTCTCGTTCCCAGTGAGAGCAGAGCCAGGCCTTGAACTCAGGCCTCCTGACCCCAAATCCGGGGCTTTGTCCTTGACACTGCTGAGCCTGGCGGTGTCCTAGCACTTCCACGGCCTGTGGCAACAGCTGGGCCCTTGGCTGAGAGGAGAGGGTGTTAGCATTCCCATCTTACAGATGAGAAACTGAGGCTCCGAGGGGTCAAAGCTCTTGCCCAGGATGACGGTGCAGGGGTGGCCAAGGGGACCGTGATATTGCCGGGCAGTTCCTGTGCCAGTTGCTGCCAGGAGTCTTGCTCTCGGGTGTGGGTTTGGCTGGCACCGAGGGCCAGAAAGCCTCCTGGGATCTTCTGCCAGGTTGGGATGGGGTCGGCGGGGCAGGAACCGGGTGTGGCTCTCTCCTGAGGGAGCCCGGCGGGAGGTGCCTGGCCTTCTCGCAAGTGCTGAGCTGTGGACCGAGGCGGGGGGACAGGCGAGAGGCAGAGGCCGGAGCAGGGGGACTGGGAGGCCTTGGGGCTCCGGTCCAGGTGGGGTCTGACCCTGGGGCTTCTGTCTCAGGAGATCTTCGGGCCCGTGCTGACCGTCTATGTCTACCCGGATGACAAGTACAAGGAGACGCTGTGGCTGGTCGACAGCACCACCAGCTACGGCCTCACGGGGGCAGTGTTCGCCCAGGATAAGTGAGTGGCCGCTGCCCTTGCGCTCTTGGCCCGGTGTCCTGCCCGACCCTGTCCCGCAACCACCCCCTGGACGAGGATCCTAGTACTAATGCCGCCCCTGCCCCTCTTCAGCCCTGACTGGCAGGGAGGCATCCCAAGCACGGGGACACAGAGGCAGCGGAACTAGATCTCTAGGGGCGGGGCCGCAGCCTACGAGCTTTTGACCAGCTCCCCTGGGTCCGATGGAGCCCCGCTCAGCAAGGTCATTGCCTCATGCTGCAGAGCAGAAAAAGTGGGCTCAGGGGCCAGGGGCTCACTGCTCATCTTGCAGAGGCCACATTTGAGCCAGGACGCCATGATGCTAAACCCTTTTCTTTTCCTTCCTCGGTGGACTAGCTGCTGCCCCGTCTGCCTCTAAGAGGGTGGAGATGAGATTGGAACCTGGGGGCAGGGTGGGGGTCTGGGGGTTCCCCCAGCTCCTGGGGGGCCAGGAATACTGGACAGGATGGGCCACTGAGTGCACGCAGCCTGACCCTCACCCTCCCGTTCCGCTCTTGTAGCAGCCCTGTGAGGGAGGCATGCTAGCCACTTCCCAGAGGAGGAGGGGCTCAGAGGCTCTCAGACCCCGCCCGAGGGGTCTAGCGCCCCTGTGGCCCGGCCCCCGTCAGCCGGGCAGCCGGTGTGGGCTGGGCTGGGGGCAGGTGAGCCGGCTGCCCTCTTACCGCTGCCCTGCCGTGTAGGGATGTTGTCCAGGAGGCCACAAGGATGCTGAGGAACACGGCCGGCAACTTCTACGTCAACGACAAGTCCACTGGCTCCGTGGTGGGCCAGCAGCCCTTTGGCGGGGCCCGAGCCTCTGGTGAGTGGGTTCTCCTTTCCAGAGGGGAGGCAGGTTCTGTCAGGAGACTCTCAACCCCTCACGTCAAGGGTGTTAAGAGTAATAGCAAACACTGTGGGCCGGAGTTAAGGAAGGTAGAGTTCTTCTTCCCATTTTACAGAGGGGTAAACTGAGGCACAGGGAGCCGGAGTGACTTGCTCAAGGGCACATGGCTAGGAAGTAGTAGAGCTGGCATTTTGGTTCCAGCGCTCATGCCTTTTACCACCGTGCTCTGGGTCACCTCAGTGCAACTCCTCCTATTTACAAATGGGGAAACAGGCTCAGAGTGGGGCAGTGACTCACCCTAGATCCCAGCTGCCTTGGTGCAAAGCCAGGGCCAGAACCCAGGGCTCCTGGCTCCCAGTGCAGTGCTCTCTCCACAGTGCTCCCAGACACCCCTTGGCAGGTGGGGCACATGGACCCGGGGAGCGTGGGTCCTGCCTCACCTGACCTCCGCCTGAGCGCGCTCAGGAAACCCTGGCCTCATGGACACACTCGGTTTTTGTTGAGCTGCTTATTGCCTGTGCTGGTGCCCTGGTTAGTCTGTCAGCTCTTCCCACCCCTTCCCTTCTGCCTGGAGCTGCCCTGTCTTTTCAGAGAAAAGCAGAGCTGTCTTTTCCACAGGAACCAATGACAAGCCAGGGGGGCCCCACTACATCCTGCGGTGGACGTCGCCCCAGGTCATCAAGGAGACCCACGAGCCTCTGGGGGATTGGCGCTACGCCTACATGCAGTGAGCCCCGCCGGCGCCTCTGCTGTCTGTCCGGACGGCTGACCTCAGTGCCCTGGTCCCGCTCCAGCCCCTTGGACCTGCTCCCCGTGGGACGGCGCCCTCTCCAGGGCCAAGACTGCCCGCTTTCCCTGACTGGGCTACATCCTGGCCTGTCCCACCCCTCGGGGGCAGGTACGGGCTCTGATTTGAGACCGTGCTGGGGAGGAACAGGGCTGCCACCCCTTTATCGCGGCTGTCCTAGAGATTTCTATCTGGCAGGTTCTCCACCTGTCTTCTTCTGCGCTGTGGCCCAGTGGCTTAGGGACCTGGGGAATGGCAATAGAGTGCCTTCCAGGATCCCTTACAGGACAGGGAAGCAGCTCTGGGCCCCTTGGCGAACCTGAGCATCCACAGAGTCTCCTGGCCTTGGCCTTGGCTCCTCCAGGGCTCCAGGATGAGGTGTGACCTGGGGTGGCTGCGGGGCATGGGGGCACCAGCTGGCCTGGCCTTCTTTGGTCTGGGCTGCCCACCTTCCTCACCAGCGGTTGGCCCACGCCCACCTGGGCCAGCAGGTACCTGGGCCTGACCATATGCCTTAGACACTCGTGCGCCTTTCCCCAGGGCACCTGTGTTCTCCTGAGGCCCATGTGATTCCTGGCAGTCTTCATGTGGTGGGCTTGGGGGGCCGGCAGAAGCTACCTGGCGAGGTGCAGGATTTGGTGGGCCTTCCCGTTTGGGCTATGGTTTTGGAAAACCCTGGGTGGGCCTTTGTGCCATCTATCTCAGCTTGCCATCAGCTCGCACCTCCCCGCCTGTGTTGGCCCAGGCTTTCCTGCAGGGGCTCGGCCCTCACAGGCTGTGGTAGAACAGGCCCGGGGAGACTGCTCCCACCTTCTCCCAGCCCCGAGAGCTGGCCTTGGGTTCCCGTCTGGCCTGGGCTGAGGATGGCCCATAGAACCTTCCCTCCTTTGCACAGAGGTGGCTCTGTGTGGACTGCCCCTAGGCGGCCTGTTCTTCGACGTAGCCAGCTGGTGGACACTCAGAACCCCTGCGAATTGGACTGCAGGGGGCTGAGGATCAATAAGGGGTGACGTTGGAGGACGGTTTTTACGGCGCCCCAAGAGTCCTGGCCCTTCGTCAAGGACAACTAGCAGGGGTCCCCGTGGGGCTGGCCCCGAGCACCATGGTTGCACACTGTGGCCCGCGACCCAGGGTCAGGCTGCCGGGGCAGAGCGTTAGTTCTGCCTGGAGAGGCCAGGGCAGTCGGCCGGGGAGAGGCGCTGGAGGTGGGCCTTGTTCTACTGGTGTGACACTGTGAGGTGGTGGTGTGATTCGCTCTGCTGCCGTCCTAATAAATACTTGTTACTTAATCAAATCGCTGGTCTTTCTGGTGGGGGTGGTGGGGGCTGGCCAGCTTCTTCAAACAAAGGCTGACATGTGGGACATATGTTGCTCATACGTCCTTCACGTCAAGAGTGCACAGCCCGCGGTGTGTTGGAAGGAAGGGTGGACGCTGATGTTGGGGAATATGGGCTGGAGGTATGGGAATTCGGGAGTCAGATGGGTTCAGATCCTGGCTCTCTGCCTTCAGAAAGTTGTGCAGCCTCCCTGATCTTCTCTCTCTTTATCTGTGAGATGGGGACTAATACACAAACACATGCACATGCACGCTGATTGTTGTGATGACTGAATGAGTTCATACAATTGTTTAGAACAATGCCAGGTACAGAATTAATGATTCAACCTTGTTAACCACGTATACATTTCAACAGCCACTGTTACTGTGTTGTGATGGTTAAGTTGATGTGAAAACTTAGCTAAGCTAACTTAGCTGGTGCCCAGGTATTTAGTTAAACATTCTGGATGTTTCTATGAAGGTGGTTTTTGGATGAGATTGACATTTAAATCAGTGGACTCTGAGTAAAACCCATTGTCCTCCATACTGTGGGTGGGCCTCATCCAATCAGTTGAAGGCCTCAATGGAACAAAGACTGACCTCCTTCAAGCAAAAAGGGATTCTGCCGATGGACAGCCTTTGGACTCAGCTGTGACTCTTCCCTGGGTCTTGACAGCCCGCTGGCCTACTCCGCTGATTCTGCACTTAACCAAGCCTAGAAGATGGTGCAAGCAGTGTCCTTACAATAAATCTGTGTATGCTGTTGGTTCTGTTTCTCTGGAGGACTGTGTTTTCTCACACAGTCACACGCTGCCGTGCTCCCATTTCACAGAAGAGGAAACGGGTGCAGGGGATGAAGGGGCTTGCCAAGGGTATGGTCTATCACTGGGACATAAAGCCACGCCTCTGGTTCCCAAACCCATTTGCTGTCCTCCCCCCCAGATGTCCATACACAGCACTGACCTGCCTTGGAAAGACCTCAACTGGCCAAATGACGGGGGTGGGAGCTGGCGAGCAACCCCGGCCAGTTAGCCTGAGCCCACAGTCTGTGGGTCGAAGTCCACGTTGGCCGGCCAACGTGGAGGGGAAACTGGCCTGGCCTGCCTCCAAAGGACGTAAAAAGGGATCCTAGCCTCGTGACACCTCCCTGTCCCGGGGTTCATTGATCGGGGCTGTTGGTGGGCAGGATCCCAGAGCTGTGGGGAGGGGATGGAGACTCTGCCCTTTGGAGCGCCCCCAACTGGCTTCCCCAGGGGCTACCAGGGATTTGTGCCAGAGGGGGCTTCTTCACTCGGGGACAAAGGGCCGCCCCCAGAGGGCCCCGGCTGGAGCTCCCAGGCGGGAAAGGTGGTTGCTGCATTTGGAGGGGGTGCGTGGGGCCGGTTAGTGTCTTTGAGCAAATGGAGTGGCTTGCTCAGGCTCACATTGACACAGCAGAGTTAGCTTTATCTATCTGGTCTCATCTAGCCGACATTGACCTTACTGGCTGTTACCTGCCTTCTGTGGAAGGACTAGTAGACGTCACGCGGCTGGTTCGTAGGGGGGCCGGAGTTTGAACCCGGGGCTGGGTGCCCACAGCCCGTGCTCCTTGCCAGCCGCTCTGTCAGGTCCATGATTTCTAGCTGTTTCTTTTCCACTGCACCATCCCCACCTGGTGCCTTTGCCTCCTTTTAACTATAGGGCCGGGGGAGGAGGGGGAGGCGGGGAGGGGGCCCCAAGCCCTTCCTTCCCTTCCTCCGCTCTGGTGCCCTGACTTGCGGCTGGTGGCTCCTGAGGGCCCGGTGCCCGCCCCCTTTGCATGGCCGCCCCTGTCAGTGCACGTGTCCGCAGGGGCCTAGGAGCCTCCTCGTTTCCCTGCAGCAGTCGGCGGCCCGGCCACCAGTCCGGGCTCGGAGCGTGAACCATTTGACTGGGGCCGGATGTCCCTGCCACCAGTGTCCCGCGGGCCACCAGTCGGGCGTGTGCTCCAGGGAAATGAGGGGCCACCTGTGCCGGCTCCTGGCCTCCAGGCTGACCCAGAGCCTCCGTGGGGGTGGTTTGGGGGGGACTCAAGGAAGAGGCAGGGTGGAGACCCACCCTCTTCACAAGCTTGTGACTTCGTTTTCCTGAAGCCACGGCGGGCGCAGTTCCTGCGTGTGGTCTGTCAGGAGCCACATTCTGTGGCTGCAGCCGTGGGCCAGGCCTTGTGCCACGTCTTCAGAGCCTCACCGCAGCCCCTGGAGGCCCCTCTGCTACTCCCTTCTTACAGATGGGGAGACTGAGGCATGGGTGGCTGAAGTAACCCGTACACCAGCAGATGGTCCCCATCTCCGCCTGCCAGGCCTGGTGTCAGGCAGGCCTGGGCTCCAGGCCCGTCTTAACCACCACCCCCTTCCCTGAGCCTTGGCCCCCACTCCCACCCTCAGACTTGGCATTTCTTGGTGAGCTGAGGATCACATGACACGTACTCTGCAGACCGAGGTGCTCGGTGAATAAGAACCTGTTATGTTCCACCCTCCCCCACACCTTCATCCTGGATACCCCAGGCGTCACCAAGCACCTGTCACTGGGCCAGTGGCTCCCACCAGTTATCTGGGGCCATACAGGAGGCGGTATTCTTTTTGCCCCATTTCCCAGATGAGGAAACAGGCCCAGGGAAGGAAGACCCGCTCAGTAAGGGGCAGGGACAGAGCTTTTCCTGGGGACCATACCAGCAGCCCCTGGTCCCTTCGCCCTGGTCCCTTGCAGGAACCCAGCAGCTTCTGGGTGGGAGCCACCCAGCGAGTGGGCGGCATGAAGCGTGGCTGTCACTGTGGCTCCAAACACAAGCAGCCTGTCTTCACTCTCACTCAGGTTGTTGGCAGCCTCCCTGGATGGTGGAATGGGTGCCATACACCCCCAGGTGCCCAACGTACATTGGAATTCTGCCCAAGGGCTCTGCCATATCCTTCCTCCAGGCCCCCTGTGGCCCGGTAGTCGCCCTCAGCCCCTGGAGCGCTTGGCATGGGGGGCCGGGGCAGAGTGAGGGAGCCGAGGTGCCGTCGGGCACCTGCTCCTTGACGTGCATCCAGCAGGCCTCAGGATCAGAGCGGGGCTCAGAGAGGGACAGGCCTGGGGGAGCTCACACAGCCTGTAAGTGGCAGAGCCAGGATCGGAAACCAGGCTGGGCAGATCGGAGCCTCAGAAGGGCCGTACAGAGTCCTAGAGCCCAGCGTTTTATCAGGGTTAAAATCGAGAGCGCCAGGCCAGGAACAAAGCCCTCGACACTGTGGTGTATGACGTTTGCGATCATTCACCGAGCAGATTCCTGATGCATTCATCTCATTGACTCACCCTCATCAAGGGTGTCTGTGGCCATTTTAGAGGCGAGGAAGCGGAGAGGAGTCAGGGCCTGCTGCCTGGCCCCCGGCCCCCGGGCTGGGCTGGACCCTTAGAGCCGCAGGGAACGGGACCACCCCCTTCCCTGTCTCGGCCCTTTCCACTCCTGGCAAGAGCTCGCTGAGTCTTCCTCCCTGGGCCGAACATCCCTCATTCCTTCATCTGCTCCCTGCAGGACACGGTTTCTGCTTCTTGCTCCACCCTGTGGCCTCCCCCAGGGCCCACACCATCCGCTCCACTTTTGACTTTGAAACTTCTCTCAGAGGAGTGACTGATGAGGCTGGGGTCCCTGAGAACTGGCTCTGAGGCCTCCCCAGGGACCCTCTCCTCCGGTGTGTCTCTGAACCAGGGCGCTGTTTGTCTGTCAGATCTTCCCGGGGGCAGAGGTCCTGCTGCCCCTGGCCCCCCCCACCCCCCCCCGCTGCCCTGGGGCCAGATTGGAGCTAGGTTTCCTGGTGCCCAATTTCGTTCTGGAGGAGGCGGCACAGGCAGGGAAGAAAGAGAAGGAAAATGCTGGGGTGGGTGGGAGGGGGGTTTGGGGGGTGCAGAGCAGGAAAGGGAACGATGTGCAAGTCGGTAGAGAGACTGGAGGGTCGGGTGGAGGAGAGGAGCTGACACAGCCCCCAGTCCCTGGGTCAGGCCTCTCTTCGGGGCGTCCCCTGGGTTCCATCCCCCCTCCAACCACCACGGCAGGGGGAGGAGGAAGGTTCAGGGCAGCTCCTTCCAGCCCAAAGCAAATGTGGCCAGTTTCTTTCCGTGAGCACGGGGGGGATGCAGATGCAAGGCAAATGGGCAGCTTTTCCTGACCCCCGTGTCCTTGTCCCCTCTCCCTCGTGTACTTTGCATAAGCCTGTCATGGCTCTCTGCCACCTTGGCCGCCGATGGTCACACAGGTGTGAACATGGGGACTCGGGCCTGGACTGGGCCGTGAGGGTGACAGTTGTGCCGGGTCCCGGCCACCTTGGAGCACGTGCTGTGCGTGCAGCCCTGAATGAGAGTCACAGCGCCGTGGGTTCCCGGGTGCCTGTCCTCAGCGCGGCCAGCGCCCCAGCCTCACTCACTTGCCCTTCTGTGTGCATCCGTGTCCAGGGCTTTCGTCAGACTCTCAAAGGGACCCTCGGCCCTGAAATGTTAAGAAGCACTGAGTCGGTTTTACAGGTAAGGAGACTGTAGCCCAGAGAATGGCAGTGACTTGCCCAAGGGTAGTTGGGGCAGAGCGGGCCCGGAAGCCAGGACCCCTGACTCTCTGTCCAGTGCTCCTTCTTCAAGAGATTTTGGTCTTCAGAGAGATCATCCCTGTCAAGGGGGCCCCTTATTCCTTTCTCATTGGAGCCCCTCAGGCACCACCATTCCCTGCAGCCCCTATTAGGGTCCCGGATTTCTCTAATCCACATATTCGCTGTGTGGCTTTGGATAAGTTACTGTCCCTCTCTGAACCTCATCCTCCTTATCTACCAAATGGAGACGTAACAGTAGCACATTGGAAGGATGACGGAGATGGAGAGGACTCTACTCTGTGCCTGGCATATCGTGAGCCCGCAGAACACGTTAGCAATGGAAGTGACCGTGTGCATGGCCACCATCGTCCTCCCAGGCCGCGTGGCACAGACCCACGTCCTCCACGGAGGCCATATCCCTGTGTCCTGGCTGTGGCCCTTGGACCCCACCTGGCCCTGCCACATGGGGGGCTCACCAGTGCCCACTGGGTGAATGGCTTTCCCGGCCATCCCTGTCTTCCACCCCCACCCCCGCACCCTGGGGTCGGGTCCGCACCAAGGGGCTCCAGTTAATTTCGATGCTTTCTTTCTCTACCATCTGCTTACCCCCCGGCTTGGCTGATTTTGCTGGGAGTCTCCAGGATGTCCCAGAGCCTCTCCGCAACCGGCATCTTGGTTCTCTCTCTTCAGAACTGCAGTGTGTGGTCATCATGCCCTGGAATGATTGGTCCTTCTCTAGCACGTTGGCCTCCAGGTGGCACCTGCAGAGGGGAGGGCAGCGCACCCCCCTCCCCCATGGTGGGGATCATGGCGACAGCTGCTGTGGGAAGACCATGCCAACGTCAGACAGCTCGGGGGTTAAGAGCTAGGACAGCCTGGGTCTAAATCCTATTAGCTGTGTGACTCTTGGCAAGTTGCTTAACCTTTCAGACTCAGTTTCCTTGTTGTTGTTTTTTTTTTTTTAAGACTTTATTTATTTGAGAGAGAAAGAGAGCATGAGCAGGGGGAGGCGCAGAGGGAGAAGCAGACTCCCTGCTGAGCAGGGAGCCCGATGTGGGGCTCGATCCCAGAACCCTGGGATCATGACCTGAGCTGAAGGCAGATGCTTAACCGACTGAGCCACCCAGATGCCCCTCAGTTTCCTTGTTTTTAAAATGGGAGTAAAAATGGCTGCTTTGCAGAGTGAGAGAATTAAATAATATAACGCATACAAAGTGCTTGACACAATGCCTGGCCTATACCATACCCTAGAAATGTGCTCTTTTGTTACCCTCCCAACTGCCCAAGTGTCCGGCATGGCAGGTGACTGGTCTCCGAGGCTCCAGCAGGCCATCCTGGGGACAGCCTCTAGGGACCCCATTCCAAGGAGGCCAGTGTGGCTGTGGTTTGGGGCACGTGATGCCGGAGAGAGCAGGCTGCAAAGGCAGGGTCAGGGAGGATGGATGAGCTGGGGCCAGGCTGGGGAGGCCTCAGACCCCAAGGCCAGGAGCCCAGCCGTGACCCTGCAGGCAATGGGGAGTCCTAGGAGGTGGTAGAGCAAGGAGGGATAGAGCTGTGCTCTGAACTGACAGAGAGGTCTAGAAAGGAGGAGGGTCTGAACTTGGGTGTAGCAAGAGGGGGAGGGGTCTGGAGAGAACCCCGGGGGCAGAGGGTGAAATCACGTTGCTGAAGGGGGAGGATAAGGGCAATCCGAAGAGGGCCTCCCCTTGTACAGATGAGGAGACTGAGGCCCGTAGAATTGAGAGCCAAGCCCAGAACCCATCTCTCCAGACAGCTAGGCACAGCTCTTCCTTTTGTGTTATGGGTTGGGTCTCCTCTCCCAAGCGCTGGTTGACATCGGTACAGAGAGGGGCAGCGACAGGCCCAAGATCACACAGCAAATCCTGCGTGTTTCCACAACACCAGGAGGCTTTTTGTGTCGTTCTAAATGTCTGTGGGATGACTTCACAGGGGCCAGGGACGGTCTCCTGGAGGAGGCAAGGCTCCGACGAGCCCTTGAAGGAGGAGCCGGGCTTGGCTGGAGCGGGACAGGGTGAGACCGTGGGGTCTTGGGTCAACTTTTTGTGCCTTGAAGCCTCCTCTCGCCATAGCCCTGGACCCCAGGGGCCCTGATGGGGGCTGTCTGCTTTGGGCGTTCCACAGCAGGGGCCCCGAGGCTCTCACTAGGCATGCATCATTAGGGCTGGCAAGGACCAACACGACATTACGTGGACTGGGTCTCTGATTCAGATGGGTGCCTGGTTTGTGGGAACCATCCCCTCTCCATCCCACTCCTTGGGGGTAGTCGCCTTTGACTTTGGAAATTTTCAGCTTTCCTTTTTGACAGGACCCCCGCCCCTTGGTGCTGGGTGCAAAGGGGGTGCCCCGAGGGGGCTCACTCAGCAGAGCTGATTGATGGATTGTTGGGCTGACAGATGGCCGCTGCCTCCCCATCCCCTGACCCCCATTTTCTTTGCGGCTACTTTCCTGTTTTTTTTTTTCTCAAAGGAAATCACTTCATGATGTAATATATCATGGAGATTAAGAGCCAGGCCTTAAAATCTGACTGTGGGATTTGAATCCCAGCTTTGCTGGCTGTGCAACCAGGGGCGGGTTTCTTAACTTCTCTGTGTCTCAGTTTCTTCATCTGTGAAATGGGGCTGGTAATAGTCCTGGTCATCGTGAGCATTAAACGAGATGGTGAATGGCAAGCACGTAGCATGATGCCTGGTTCTTATTGACAACGGCTGCTACTTCTGGAACTCCTGCTGTCAGATGCCGTATATGAATTACTATATGCCAGGCTCCACTTGATCAAGCTCTAAAGCTTGGGATCCATTTGCCAGCCTACTCTGTCTCCTGGGTGAGTATCTGTGTCCTGGACTCCCAAATGTTGGAAGCATTAGGGGCATGGAACCTGTTCTCAATCAAGTGGCAGAAGGCTAGGGAGTGTCCAAGTTAGCAGGACATGCTTTCTCTACTTCCACATGGGGTTCTCCCAGACCGCCCAGGTCCCACCGTGCCCGAGGAAGGGATCATCTTGGTTCTAGCCTCCTCCTTTCCCCCAGAGTTCTCAAACCTCTCCACCTGTCCCAGGTGCTTTCCCCACCCCATGGGCCATGCACATGTAAATGTCTGTGCAAATCCCCTGGTGTCAAGCTGCCAGCTCTCTGATGAGGTAGGGCCACCTCTGGGGACCCCCACTTCCCAGCCATGGGACCCCAGGCCAGGGCGGTCTGCTCCATGTTCATCCTGCTGCAGGTCCTGGCTGCGCCGGCTGAGAACTCAGACTTCTACCTGGCTGGGGATTACCTCCTGGGTGGCCTCTTCACCCTCCACGCCAATGTGAAGGGCATCGTCCACCTCAACTTCCTGCAGGTGCCCCAGTGCAAGGAGTGAGTCTCCAGTGTGAGGCTGGAAGCGGCAATGGGGGTGGGGTGGGAAGCCTGCACTGGTCCCGCGGTCCTCAGGGGACCAGGCCAGGACCCAGGGCTCAAAATGCTCCTCCTCATTCATTGCCAACTCCTCATCCTGGATTATCCCCACTGGCTCGGAGGGAGAACCCACATAGTTCATGTTACCAAGATCTTCGGCAATTGTGTTCTGAAACATGGAGACCTGGTTGTCCCAATGTCACATCTCTTAATAAAGAGTTACAGGATATTTGAGCCTGGAGGGGTTGCAGAGACCATCAAAACCACCCCCACCCACTTTGGCAAGGGAGTCCATGCCAAGGCCCAGTCTAGAAACCAAGGGTTATGCCTTTGGAAGGCATAAATGTGGTATTTTTGCAGCAGGTTCTCAGACTAGAGGGGAAGGTTTGCATTTCCCTAGGGCTGTGGTTAGGTTGTGGTGGGGAGGTGCTTCCAGGACTGGAAGGGATTTCCTTTGCTCACCCTTCCCCTGTGAGCCCCATGGGGTGGCGGCATCACTCGAGATTAGGTGGGCCATCTTCATGCAAGCATGGGATTATGAATTAGTGACCTGGTACAGAGAGGGTGAAGGCATTCTGACAGAGAGGGATAAAGGAAGGAGTGCACAAAAGATGATAAAGGGCTGACTCTACGAAATGCACCCTTTATGTGATGTTGGGGAAAGTTATAGGCTGGTTTGAGAATGGTGAGGGTGATGGTGCCCGTGATGGTACTGGGCTCATTGTTGAATGTTCTGATGCCTGTGATGATGGTGGGGAGTCCAGTGAAGTGATGGTGGTGAGGGTGGTGATATTGATAATGTTGATAGCAGTAATACGGGTGATAATGCAAATGGCAAAGAGTATGTGATGGTGATGGTGGTGGTGGTGATG